GAACGATTCTCGCTTTGTTGCAGGCTAGAGTGAGTGCCATGGCGTCAGCCTAGCTCACAGCAACCTCAAATCCGGCTCTAGCGATCCTACTGCCTCAGCCTCCCAAGTAGCTGGGACTCCAGCATGCACCACCATGCACCGGCTATATTTTCTATAATATTTAGTTGGCCAATTGTTTCTTTCTATTTATTGTAGAGACAGGGTCTTGCTCTTGCTCAGGCTGGTTTGAACTCCTGACCTCAGCAGTCCACCCACCTCAGCCTCCCAGAGGCTAGGATTACAGGTGTGAGCACCACGCCAGGCCTACATTTCTTATTATTCTCTTGATGCTGATTGTCAAACTTATTTTCATAAAAGGTGTACTGACTTACACCCAATGTGGAGCTGGACAGAGCCTTCATCTCTGCACACTTCCATCCCAGTCATTTAGGCATCCCTATGGTCATTAGGACCTGCTGGTTACAGGGAAGTTTTCCCAAAGAGCTTGGGAAGTAGAAGATAAGTCTTCCTTCTGAAAATTAAAGTGGAAATTGAATCAGAACAGCTTATCTGTATTCTTTTTGCTCAGTTTTGGAATCAGGGTTAGGTTTACTCTTCATTTATCTTTATTGGAATAAAACAAACATACAGAAGGTGCTTTATATAATGTGCAGATTGGTAATTTCACAAAGTGAGCATAACCAAGTAAACATCATTAGGTAAAGATTCGGAGCATCATCAGCATCTCGAAACCTCTCATGTGTCCCTCCCAGGCACCACTCCGACAGGGAGCCACTTTTCTGACTTCCTTCCCTCTACTCTAGTTTTGCTGTTATTGATCTTTTTACAATGGAATCATTCATATGTACTTTTTGTGTATCTGGCTCTTTGCCTCACATTGTTTGTGAGATTTCTTTATAATTTTAATATATATACCATGGAATACTCTGTTTATATTGTTATATGTAGCATTTGTTCTTTTTTGTTGTATAATATTTCATTGCTATAATATATATCAGCATTTCTCTGTGTATCCTACTGTTAGCGAACACTTGAGTTGTTGCCAGTTTGGAATTTACAACAAATAGTGCTGTTTTGAACATGCTTCTATAAGTCTTTTAGCAGATACATGCTCTCATTTCTCTTAGATATGTACCTAGGAGATGAATAATAACAACTAAATTCTAAAATCTAGAATGGATCCTAGATTAGAGCAGAGGTGTGTGAAATGTATTTCAGTTTTTATGAAGTTAAACATACACTTACGATATGACCAAGCAATCCTACTTTTAGGAATTTAACCAAGAGAAATGAATTTCTCATGTCTACACAGAGATCTCTACGTGAATGTTTATGGTAGCTTTTTTCACATTAGCCTAACTAGAAACAGACAAGAATGACCAACAGATGTTAAAACCATCTGGTGAAAAACTGATTGAGAACAAAATATTTACCTAGTCAGGGTTTCCTAATTGATCCCATAGATATCATTCCTTCTATGTTTATTATTTGGCACCCTCTTGTAATAAGTTTTTCCCTTTACCTCATCCTTTAATATATTTTTTAAACCATCAGTATGGTCTTTGTATTTTTTTTTAATTCAGTAGGTAAAATTTTACTCCTTGTCATTATTTATTTTGATATGTAAATTGTGCCAGTTTGACCAGTGGGAACCCCTTAATGTTGTTCTTTATTTGATATGTCCCTTATTCTTTGAGAGCTTCAGTACTCTCTGGCACGACAGAATATTCTAGATTCACCGTGTACAGTCATTTCTCTGCCCCAGTCCTAGGATGATCTGTTTCTCCACAGAGCCCTAGTCCCTTCGGAGGGAAATGGTATTTAGAAACAAGATCTGGATGCTAGGTGTGCTCCTTGTCTTTGGATGTCATTGCTTCAGGCACTCTTAGAGGACAAGCTAGGAGATACAACTTTTTAAATTTATGACTTTAACTGATACTTCTAATTCTAATACAACATCTCAGTGTTTCTTTTGTTTCTCTCTTGTTTTATATTTGTATCTCCTTCTCCCTGAATGAGAATCCAACAATAATGTATTACTCACTTACTCCGTATTATACAGCAAATAAGAGTTCCAGAATTGCTACATCAATACCACTCTCAAAATTGTATTAAGTAAAGCCCAAATGCTTTTTAAGTTCTTTTTGTCTTAGAATATATCCTACTGAGAGTATACTGTCAGAAAGCCATGTTCAAAAGTTACTGAATTAATTTTTTCTTCTATGTTTATGTTATCTATTAATATTCAGTTAGGCTTACTTGTTTCTGTTGGCATTCAATTTCAGTTGTTTTCCCATTCTTGTTTGATTTTTAATATTTAGAGTTAGAATAGTTAAAAGTCAAAGCCATTTACAAAGGTATCCTCATAAAAGTTCCATTCCCCTCCCTATCCCCCTCTCTTTCTCACTATCCTCTGTAGGTAAACAAATTTATCCTTCCTATTTCTTTCATAAGAATAAGCAAATACAAATATATTTTTCCCCTTTTATTTTATATAAAAGGTAGCATATATACAGTCCCTGGAAGTCCCTGACTTGTGAGGTTCAACTTACATTTTTCAACTGTATGATGGTGCAAAGATATGTATTCTATGAAACTATACTTCCAATTGTAATATTGTTCAAGCTAGCGATAGGCAGTAAGTACTCTCTCGGTGATGCTGGGTTGGTGGCAGCGAGCCCAGCTCAGCCCCATGATCACCAGGTAAACAACTGATACTCTACAGTGTGCTGGGTACCAGCATCTTCTGGGATATTGTGTGTTGTGTTTTCATCTATCATATCTACAATATGCCCATTTGCAACTTAGAATATTCAACTTAGATGGGTTATTGGAGTACCCATCATAATCAAGAGACATTGTTACATGCTTTATATAATTTTTTTTCACTTAATGATACTATCCTAGAATCAATTATATATCAATTTTACTAGAATTCTCTAATGTTTTTTTATAGCTGCATAGTATTCTACTAGTGGGAGTACCCTATAATATTTGCCACTTTCCTACATTAGGTATTCTAATATGTTGCCATTATGAATAATGTCAATATGGTGATACTGTACATATTTTTGATATTTTTTTTTGTATTTTTATAGGTTGTATTGAATTTCTTCAGCGGTAGAAATTCTAGTTCTATGGAAAGGCAGTTAAATAGACATTTCTGACAACAGTGATCAAAGTAAAAGAGAGAAGATTCAAATAACAGTATTAGAATAAAAAGTACAATATCTATAGATATATAGTAGATGCTTAACAGACTAACTGCATGTGAGTTGTATTTAACTCACTCTAGTTTGAGCTGGCTTGTGAAGCACATATATCACATGTTCTCTATGGTGTAGTGCGTGGATATTTTTCAAGTGCATAATCATGCACAGAAATAATAAACTCACACAATTTATTAAATTGTAGAAGATCTTTTTTGTTTTCAATATTTTATCTCTATTTCATAATAAAATCATGGCCCAAGGAAGAATTTTTTTTCTAGTGTGTAACACGTCAAATGTTAAGAAGCATTGGGAATGCATTTGAACAAACCAGGCAAGTGATCATATGGAAGACTAGAAGATAATGGAAACATTTCTAGGAAAATAAGTTCAAACTGCCTAGCAAGATGAATATAGAATCTCAATAGACCATACTAGAAAGTAAATTAATCAATAGTTAATATATATTTGGTAACAAAAACAAACGAAACAAATTACGCTGGATTCAAAAAAAAAAAAAAAGAAATGTAAATCATTTTATCTGGTAACTCCCCTCCAGGAATTTATTTATCCTAAATCAACTATTCAGTCAAATATTTATGAACAATAATGTAAAGTTATACATTTAAAAAAATTAGCAAAGAAAATCCATTGACAGTAACACTTACAATTGGCGTCCCGAAAGGAATGTAACCTGTGAGCAGAAAGAAAAAAGAGTCAGGTCTTAGGATCCACATGATTTTCCCTGTGAGGTGAGACGCCCTCTTCCCACACTCACTACACAAGACTGGACATCCTCCAAGGACCCCAGAATGTCTTCCTTCTTCCCTCGGCTTGTCTTTCTAGCATAGGTTCTTATTTCCCTGGCATTGTGACCATTTCTGGACAGGGAATTCCCTGTGCACCTGAGCTGTGTACCTTTAAGTGTCAGAGCTTCTTAACTCTCTGGCAACCTGGCTAGATGTCCTCAGTGGGGCAGTAGAGAGCCTGGATGAAGCACAGCCAGGCCCTGGGGCTGGCTCCTTACTGCTCAAGGTCTCCAGGTGAGGCTCCCCAGCAGCCCCAAATGCTGTCCCCAACCTCTAACTGTGGCAGCCAGGCAGCAGGGAGCATGCTTACCTGAGTTGCATCTAAAGCACAGGTTAGCATCCTGACTTGTGTGTACACACTAGTCCTCTCTCTCCTCCCTGCGTCCCTCTGGGGAGAGGTTCAGAGTTTGATCATCTCCTCAGAGGAATTCATGACTCAGAAAGTTTAGAAATTGGCCAGGTGCAGTGGCTCACACCTGTAATTCTAGCACTCTGGGAGGCCGAGGAACGAGGATTGCTTGAGCTCAGGAGTTTGAGACCAGGCTGAGCAAGAGCGAGACCCCGTCTCTACCAAAAACAGAAAAAATTAGCCAGGTGTGGTGGCGTGTGTCTATAGTCCCAGCTACTTCGGCGGCTCAGGAAGGAGGATCACTTGAGCCCAGGAGTTTGAGGTTGCAGTGAGTTATGATGACACCACTGTGCTCTACTCAGGGTGACAGAGCAAGACGCTGTCTCAAAAAAAGAAAAAAGGTCAGAAATGACAAGAGAAGCTAGGCTGGGGGTGGGGGAGATGAGAGCCTGGTCTGCCCAGCGTGGGGACAGCAGGGCATCTGAAGCCACAACCATAAGATGCTCAGAGCCTCTGCTGCCTTGGCGTCTGCCATGGCAAAGTGAGGGGACACAGAGCACTAGCTGCCTCAGTTTACACAATGGCTTCCTGTGTCCATCCCCTCCCTGGTTGTTTATTTTCTTGCCCCTGAGAGGTCCGGCTCTGTGGAGGGAGGGCTCCTGACTGACCTACCCGGCCTGTCCCCAGCCACTGAGGCTTCCCCAGGCAGCAGCAGAATCCCTCCCACCCCACCCTCATGCCTCACGGTGCGTACACCCATTGCACGGAGAAATGGCAAGAAGGAGGCAAACACACGCTGGTGTGAGTGTGACTCTCTGCAGTGTGCCTAGGGGCAAGGCCTGCAACCTCGCAGAACCGTCAGCAGGATAACTGTGCCAGCCCCAGCTAGTGTATACGCCTGTGCTTTCTGAGCCCTGGACCCAGACCTACCGAGTTGTCCCTCTAGTGACCACTGGGACTTCCCAGGGGTAGGCATCTCGTGTCCCCCTCTGCCCACTGGTCTCTACAGAGCAGGAATCGCGCTGTCTCTATGTGCACAGCAGTGCAAATACAACACACGCCTTCTGAAGGGAGGGCAGACAGTGGGATGGGAGAGCAGGGGTCAATCTGGAGACTGCCTGCCTGCAAGGGCACCGGGGAGCGGGGCATGGAAGGAAAGAGCAGGTTGTGAGCAGGTAGGAGAGGAGGGGTGGCTTGTAGAAGCCAGGGCTGGCCTGCGGCGGCATCACTGAGGCTGCCCTGGTGAGTGGTGTACAACCTGGGGTGAGAGTGCCAGCTTCACCTAGGGTGGCCACGGCTCCACCCCAACTGCTTGGGAAGGAAAGGCAGCCGAGCTCCATGGTGGATTCGGAGGCCTGGCCAGCGTCTTGCATGGTCAAGCCATGGGGAACAGGTGGGTGCAAGTGTGGCTGCCTGTGCGACATACTCCGTCCCCTCCTCATGCTGGCACACCTGACGCTCCTGGAGCTGTGACCATAGTAAGTGCCCCGGGCTGGGCAGAAGAGCAGGGTCCCAGGAGCTTACCTGACATTCTAAAGGGCATGAAGATCTTCTCATTGGTGTCCGGGTGAAGAATAGCCTGGCAAGAGCCGGGAACAGAGCACAGGGTGATAGTGGGGAAGGCAGGCGGGAGGGAGTGACAAGGGAACAAGCAGAGTGCTGGAGGCAGAAGGGGGAAAACGACAGTTCCCCCAGGAAGACTCAGACGCCAGTAGCTGTGTGTTGCCTTCTGGCCTGATAGGTCTTTCCACCCTTTAGGGCAAGAAAACATCAAAACATGGCCATAAACAGCACCCCACTACTGACCGATCCTCAAAGGCGGGTGTAGGGGAGACCAAAACCCCCTGGGGACCAGGGCGGTGTCTTCCTTGCAGGTGGTACCCCATGCCTGGCACACAGTAGGCATGTAATGGTACACAATCATTATAGCCCAGTCCCTTCCTGGAGCTCAGAGAGCCCAGGCCAAGGCCAGCCTTCAGGAACGCCGGCCCTCGGGTGCCGGGGCAGAGGAAGCGGTGAGGAGCCAGGGGCAAACTGAAGTCCCGAAACAGCCATGGGAGGAGGGGCTTCCGCTAGATCCCAGGGCAGGGGAGGGTGGGGCCCAGGAGGGTACAGAGAACGAAAGAAAAAGAAGCCAAAATTGGGTTACCTGTTTGATTTTCTGTGCGCTCCAGAGCTGGAAGAGAGAGAAAGAGAAAGGAATGGAAATAAAGAACAAAAGCACATATCCATTTAAAGTCTCAAAGCCATATTTTCTAACCAAGGGATCCAGCTCCAAAAGCACAGGTGGCTCAAGCTGTCCTCGTCTCCCCAGGCTGGGCAGCCACCCCACCCTGGGTGGGGGCTCCAGAGGGTAGAAAGGCTACAGATCCCAGAAAGGCAGAGCTAGGGGATCACACACCGGTCATTTAAACCAGGGGCTCTTGACTCTGGCTGCGCTTTAGAATTCCTTGGAGAATTCTTTCAGCATTTTCCCAAAGCTCCCTATTTGATTCTAAGTCACGACCACATAAGAACCCCCGATTTAAATGAAGACACTTCAGTTGTCTCCTAGAAGGACTAGTGGCAGCACAGCGTGACTTGGATTTTCAGAGACAGACTGCCTGGATTCTTGGCTTTGCCCCTTCAACCCCTGAGCCGTGGCTCCCTCATCTGCAAAGTGGGGATGATGGCCAAGCTTCTAACGTAGAATTGTTGAAAGGTATATTGAAAGTTCCTAGGGCAGACTCAGCACATAGTAGGTGCTTTATACGTCCTTATTGCTGTTGATATTATTACCCCTATTGTTGTTGTTGTGATAAGAAGGTTGCAGGGAGAAAAAAAAGTTGCTTTTCAAATGAGTGATGATGAGGGGTTGTTTCTTTCCCGCACAGCAGGGGAGTGGGCTGGATAGACAGTACAACTGTCAATCCCTTCAAATGACCTAACTGCTGCCTTTCATTGAATCTAAGATATCATGGATCCTAAGATACACTAGTATGTATCACAAAAGAAAGAAAACTCTGATGTAATGCCAAGACCCGCATCAATTAAAAAACACATCCCACTGTAGAGAAGCCACAGTGTAATAGAGTAGGCCTCTTCAAATCAAGGAATCATAGTAAATAAAAATGTACATGCTGGACAAGCCAAAGGCCAGTGCATTTTTCATGGAGCAAGAAGGATACAGAGCTAGAAGGAAGACACAGCCAACAGCTGATGTTTAAAGTTTTATAAGAGAATAGTTGCTATGCCTCATATAGCAATGCTGGTCATCTGGAATATAAATTAAGCTACAGAAGTTAAGAAGGCTACTGGGTAGTAAAAATAGAAGTTATAAAATTGATACATTAAAGTTTATGCATTTTAGTCACAGCTGAGTCCCTCAAACCTTAATTCACAGCCTAATTAACTCTTATTTTAGATACATTTCCAACACACTTGATTGTCTGCCATTCCAGACCCAGGCAGACTAGAAGCAGTAGATTTTTAAAAAAAATAATAATTGGGGACCACAGGGGACTGATGAGAAAACCCAAATGCAGAATCACGGCTAGCACAAAGGGAAGTGAGAGCCTAACAGCAAAGAGGTTTTAAAACATGGCAGAAGGTTGGTCCTTTCCTCTCTGCTCAGAAAGCACCTGTCTGAAGTATACCCCTAAGTCCAGGCTCCGTCCCAGCTGCGCCCCCAGGCCCTGCGCACAGACTCCTGCCACCCCGCACTCTCCACCATGATATGACCTCTGAGGCCCCTCAGCTCCAGGGCCACGGCCCAGCCTCTTGGAGACAGGGAGCTGCTTTCCAGCACTGTTGCCTAGCACCCCCCACAGGGCCTGGCAAACAACAGGCGTTCAATAAGTGCTTGGTGAAGGAATATAATCTTCTAAAATGTAAGCATGCCCAAGGTGTAACTGATCTATGGGTAAGCATGGTGAAGCAAATGCACAGATTTATCTCTTTTCTTCCCAAATCCTCAATAAAAGAAGAGCAAAAGAATAAACCAGCTGAAAACCCCATCAGGGAGGAAGGGGAGGTAGAGGTATATGGAGAATTCTTGGAGCACTGTCAGCACATAGTAGGTGCACAACAGCACGCAGAAGAGGCCATGCATCTCTGGCGGGTGGAGAGCTGATGAAGGGATGAATGACCAGCAAAGCTGCAGAGGGTGGCAGTGAGCCCCATGGGCCGCTCAATGGAGGTGCGGTGTGGAGGGGCCAGAGAGCAGGGAGAGAGGTTGAAAATGTCCCTGTGCATGGGACAGAGCCCCAAAGCTCCTGCCCAGGTGATGGAGGCTTATTCTCCAGAGCAGCCCAAACAGGGTCACAGGCATGGGGAGGATGAGGGAAAGGTCGGAGTGCTGAACACGGGTCTCTCCAGGAGCCTGTCTTCATCCAGCTCCCAGAACACAGCCTGCAGGGGGATGGAACACCTTCCCCAGGGAAACAGAAAGGCTTCCAGAGAAACAACCCACTGAGGGGCCAGCTTGGTGGACATGCCATCGGTGCACTGCTGAGCAGGCCCCATGCTAGGGGTCTGATGCTGTGTGGTTGCTGTCTTGGCTTACTTAATACAGTCATGGGCCACACAACAAACAATGTTATGGTCAGTGAAAAGCCACATGTAAGACAGTGGTCCCAAAAGACTATAATGAAGCTGAAAAATTCCTATAGCCATCATAAGATCATAGAGCAACGTATTACTCACATGTTTGTGTTAATGCTGTAAACAAACCTGCACTGTCACAGTTGTATAAAAGCCTCACACATACAATTACGTGCAATATATAGTACTTGATAATGATAATTAATGACTGTTATGGTGTATGTATTTATTATACCATATATACATATTAATGTATGTATATATTATATATATATATATACTATATATATATATAAAGTTAACTGTAAAACAGCCTCAGGCAGGCCCTTGATGAGGTGTTCCAGAAGAAGGCATTGTTATCCTAGGAGATGACAGCTCTGTGTGTGTTATTGTCCCTGAAGACCCTCCAGTGGGACAAGATGTGGAGGTGGAAGACAGTGATATTGACGACCCTGACTCTGTGTAGGCCTAGGCTAATGTGTGTGTTTGCCTGAGTTTTTAACAAAAATGTTTAAAAATTTATTAAAAAATTTAAAATAGAAAAAAGCTTATAGAATAAGGATATAAAGAAAGAAAATATATTTTTGTACCACTGTACATGTTTGTGTGTGTGTGTTTTTTTTTTGTTTTTTTTTTTTTTGATACAGAGTCTCACTTTGTTGCCCAGGCTAGAGTGAGTGCCGTGGCATCAGCCCAGCTCACAGCAACTTCAATCTCCTGGGCTCAAGTGATCCTACTGCCTCAGCCTCCTGAGTAGCTGGGACTACAGGCATGCGCCACCATGCCGGCTAAGTTTTTGTATATATATTTTTAGTTGGTCAATTAGTTTCTTTCTATTTTTAGTAGAGATGGGGTCTCGCTCAGGCTGGTCTCAAACTCCTGAACTCAAATGATCCGACTGCCTTGGCCTCCTAGAGTGCTAGGATTACAGGCGTGAGCCACCGCGCCCGGCCCATGTTTGTGTTTTAAGCTAAGTATTATTACAAGAGTCAAAAAGTTAAAAAAAATTAGTTTATAAAGTAAAAAAGTTACAGTAAGCTAAGTTTTAAATTATTGTTGAGGAAAGGAAACTAATTTTTATAAATTGAGTGTAGCCTAGCTGTGCAGTGTTTATAAAGTTTCCGGTAGTATACAGCAATATCCTAGGCCTTCATACTCACTCACCCTTTACCCACAGCAACTTCCAGTCCAGCAAGCTCCATTCGTGTTAAGTGCCTCATACAGGTGTACCCTTTTTTGAAATCGTTTTTACTGTATCTCTTGTATGTTTAGATGCACAGATGCCGCTGTGTTACAGATGCCTGCGGCATTCAGGGCAGGCACATGCTGTACAGGTTTGTGGCCAGGGAGCAACAGGCCGTCCCATACAGCCTAGGCTGAGGAGGCTACGCCATGTAGGTTTGCGTAAGTACACTCTCTGACATTCCCACAATGACGAAATGCCTAATGAAGCATTTCTCAGAATGTGTCCCTGTCATTAAGCAACGTGTGACTGTATCTTTATCTTTGAACATGTGGTTTGCAAGCAAAGATGGATGGGACAATGGAGCATGTGCTGGTGGCCTGGAGCCTCAGCTCACTTGTGGTCCTGCCTCACACTGTCCCCCCACCCAGCCATCTCCCTGGGATGGGTTCTCGGCACCCACTCAGTGACTGCTGTCACCCTCCACTCCTGGCGGAGGGCTAGGAGCAGGGGGGCCAGGTGGGCCATGCGGGTCCCACACACCAAGTTGAGGAGCGGGGCTCTGGGAGCCTGTGCAGGTCTGCTCTGGCACCATGAGTGCCCCCATGGCTGAGGGAGAAAGACATTAAATAATAGCAAATACAAAAAAAAATACCTTGTAAAGCACCTACTATGTGCTGACTCTGCCCTAAGAACTTTCAATATACCTTTCAACAATTCTATGTTAGAAGCTTGGCCATCATCCCCACTTTGCAGATGAGGGAGCCACGGCTCAGGGGGGAAGTATAGAGAGAGAGCACAGAAAAGAGGGAAAAGCTTTTTTCTGCTTTATGAACACGGATCTTGCATTTTCACTTTGCACCTTGCCTCACAAATGATGTAGTCAGCTCTACCTATAAATACTGCTACTTGGAGGACCCCAATGAAAGGGATCGCTGCTGAGTGAGCTACACATGCATATATAGAAAAGGAATTCTGGAAGCGAAAGGAAAAAGGAATTCTGAGGAAATGAAACAACACAGGAACTAAAGAAAACTTTTAAAATGCTGTAGTATCTTCAAAGCAGTAGGACATGAAAGAAGAAAAGGATACAATGAAAAATAAGTGCAGGGGACAAATCCTAGTTCTGCCACATACTGGATGTGTGGCCCTAGGCAAATGACTTTGCCTTCGTGCCTCAGTTTCTCTACCAGTAAAAGGGGTTGTTGTAAGGGTAAGGCAGAGAGTGTGTGGTGCCCCGGCAGACTGCATTTCCCTTCTGGCACACGGCTAAGCTGCTGCTTCCCAGCCCCCCTGCAGTCACGTGGCCCGTGGGACTGGGTGCGGGCTAGTGGACTGTGGACAGAAATGACATTCGCCACGTATGGGCCTGGCCCCGAAGCCTCCCTCAGAGGACCCGGTAGAAGACAGAT